GAACCATCGCTCGCAGTCGGTGGAGGAACACCTCCAGCCCTATAAACCTTGAGCTCCTGTTCCAGTTCCCTGTTACGAGCACCTTGAGCCGTGACGAGTTGTTGGAGGTACCTATATGCGCGTTTTTCAGTGGTCAGCGTGATGAAATGAATAGAAAAGAAAAAAAAAGGAAGGTACAAGAAAGACAAGATGACCTCGAAAACAAAAGAAAAGACACCAACCTAATATACTCCACACTCTTCCTCAAAATCATCCCTTTATTCGCTTTTACCACTCCTGCCTGTCCTCCAGCACCACCGGCACCACCCTGTCCAGCGCCACCACCGTTCACGACTCCATTTTCATCCTCTTCTTTCTTAGGAACCATCATCTCGACTCCCATGTCCAATCCCCACATCGCTTCGCCATTACCCCCGTCGATAGGAGAAATGGCTGAAGTAGGCGACGTTGGGGAATCTGTAGAGAGAGTGAGACCGGATGAAGAAGAAGAGGGTGGGATTAGAGTGTTCAGAGGAGGAACGGTGCTGTTGGACGGGTTCGGAGAGTTGGAAGAGTCTTTCGAGTTGTTTGTTGGGACTGTTTGGGAAGAAAAGGAGTTGTTAATTATTGGGTCGTCGATAGATGTTTAGAAGGCGGAGAGAGAGAGGATAGATAAAGAATGTAAAGAGAAACGATTTCATTCAGGATAGACGGGTCCAAAATGCAACGCATACATGCACCCATTCATCCGAGGTCAACCAAAAACCACCTGTTAACCGTAAAGCCCATTGGCCAAACTCCCGCCCCACCGCCCTGGACCACGAAAGAACGAAACAGCCGCATCAAAAAAAAAAAAAAACAACATCACCGATCACACCGGTCAACACAGTGCACACCGGCCAACTCAAATGACCGACAAACCCCGACAACCCCAGCCCCAGCAACCGCGACCCCGAGTAAAAAAAAAACCCAGAAAAAAAAAAGCGACATCGGAAACACCAAAAAGAAACACAAGTCAAAAAAAAGCCAGGAGGGAAAACAGTTCTCACGACCCATCGGCACACGAGTTGACACACAAACGCGGATCGTCGGAACCCGTCGGTCCCTCTCCCTCGCAGAGATCTGTATGTGTGTGCACGGGCCCGTGTGTGTGTTATGCGGAAAGCACGGAGAGGCGAACCAAAACATTCTCGCCCGCTCACAGAGCTAGAAGAAGCTGAAAGTCTTCCCCCTCCTCCTCGAAAACGAAAGAAGAAACAGAAAGAAAAGAAAAGAAAAAGAGAGAAACGACACCGGAACTCGTCGGTCCCTCCTGCCGCTGAGATCTGTATGGGCCCGTGTGTGCGTTATGCGGAAAGCACGGAGAGGCGAAACGACTGAGGGCTGGGAGGGGAAAATGGGCGAGAAACATGGGCTGAGGGAACTAAAAGCTCCTCGCTAACGAAGCTGGAAGAAGCCGCAAGTCCTCCCTCTCCTTTTCGAAAAGCGTAGGTCGAGAGAAACAGAAAAGAAACAGAAACAGAAAGAAAGAGAAAAGAGAAAAGAGAAAGAGAGAAACGACCAAAAAAGCACACACACCTCCATCCAACATACACTCCGGAATCAACGTCGCCAATTCCGAAATCTTCTCATTAATATTATCCCTCCTCCTTCTCTCCACAGCGTTATGGCTTTCTCTTCTCCTTCTCCTTTTTTCGTTCGCCAATAAGACTTGTTTGTCTTGTGGTGAGAGTGATTGAGTTTGAGTTGGGGATTGGCCAACTGCGGCTGCAGCGGATTGGTGAGAGAGATGGTGTGTGGTGGAAGGAGAATGGAGAGATGGGGAGAGGTGGGAAGGGTGTGGGATGGTGGATGAGGTGAGGTGGTGCGTTTGGAGAGGTTGGAGACCTGTGTTTTTTTGTGTTATTAGTTAGAAATGATACGATTTTTTTTTGGGTTGACACCAAGCGAGAAGAGTGAACGATTATATAGATGGGAGAAAAATGATACGAAAACGCGCATATATGCGTCAGAAAAGACCAGAAATGAAGCATAAAAACGAGAGGGGAAAATTAACGCAAGGCGAGAAGAGTAGATAGGGAGAAAAAGGATATGAAAACAAGCATATATGCGTCAGAAAAAGACTCAGAAAAACGAAAACACAAAAAGTGACTATGAAAAAGCGACTAGAAAAGTTCCAACTCACCTCCCAAAGCACCAGTCCCAAGATTCGGAATCCCACCGAGTCCACCAAACCCTGCACCTCCCGGACCACCTCCAGGTGTCGGAGTCGCATTCCCACCGTCCGCTTTCGACCCGGCAACGGAGAGCGAATGAGACCTAGTAGACCTCGTCGCATGTCCATGATGCTGTTGCTGTTGCTGCTGTTGCTGCTGTTGTTGCTGTTGTTGTTGATGATGATGAGGATGATGATGTAAATCATGCATCCCAGTAGGTAAACTCGGTAAAGAACTCGACAAGGGCGTCTCATCGCCTCCCATCATTCCTCCACCTCCGTGATGTCCATGTCCACCACCCATATGATGAGGATGTCCTCCTCCTCCACCTCCCATATGATGTTGTTGTTGGTGATGGTGTTGTTGATGTTGATGATGAGGTGGAGGAAGATGATGATGTTCAGGTGGACTCAACCCAAGACTACTTCCCATACTCCCAAACGAAGAAGGTCCAAACGAAGAAGGATGTCCTCCATGATGATGAGAACTATACCCATTGTTCCCGTTCGCACCACCACCGTTGATAGGTATCCCACTTCCCAATCGGTTCGAAGGATTAGTCGCCGAACTGTTGTTGTTGTTGTTGGAAGAAGAGTTGTTGTTGATCCCACCCATCCCGTTGACACCTAGACCACCTGAGAAATCGAGATCGGAAAAGGACCCGTGGTGGTGGTGATGAAGGTTGTGGAGAGGAGAAGACGAACTACCACCGTTGTTGTTGTTGGAAGAGTGAGAATGAGCATGAGTGTGGATCGGAGAGTGGGCAGATAATGGGGACGTCAGAGAGTCTGGTGTAGGGAGGGTGAATTCGCTAAAAACCATCGAGAGAGTGTGTCAGATTAGATTTAGATTGGAAGAGAGAGAACGAGTGATTACTGACCCTCCTCCGGATCCAGGAAACCAGCCATGAGAGTTGCCCGTGCTAGCGCCGGGAATGAGGATTGCCTGAGGCCTGCTCGCTGCAGAGTGATGATGAGGTGGAGGAGAGACGCTGGAGACGGAATTGTTTCGCCTGCTTCGAGTGGTACGAGTGGGTCCTACTCCTCCGGTATCTGCACCTCCAGTTCCACCTGGAGCGCCTCCAGACCCTGCACCAGTTCCAGTACCGTTAGACATAGGTACGCCAAAGTTGTTCAATGCAGAAGAGGCAGAGGAGGATGGTGGTCTGGAACGAGAGCGAGAGTTGTTGGAAGTAGTAGGAGAAGGAGTGTGTCGGTAAGGGTGATAAGCCGAAGAAGCAGAATGAGCAGGCGCGCCCATATCAAAGATGTTGTGAGTCCGGTATTCCGTTGAGTTTCCATTGGATTGGCTTGTCGACCGTTCGTTCGACCCCATCATCGATGCCAGGTCGTCTGCAAAGTCCATCATCGTACAAAAGAGAGAACAGCCGTCCTATGAATCCTGGAAGGAGAGCAAAATGGAAATAAAAAATAACGAAACACAAATTTCAATCCACACGGCCTGGCTTTTCGTATTCTCCCCCAAAAAAAGCCGCAACACTTTTTTTACGGACCGCAACCGAGCGATATTCTGTTTGTGTCTATTGTTTGTGTTTGCGATCGGGTATCTAAATCTGCCCGTTCCCACCCCACAACCCCCATCAAATATGGCATCCATCTGTTCCTGGGGCCCCGGGACACCCCCGCAACAATCGACAAAAATTTTTTATGATTCAAATTTCCAATTTGCCCCCGCCCTTTACCAATATATTTCTTCCCGTGGGGCAAATAAATGCAAAGGCGTAAGCAAAAAAATTGAGCATATGGGACGGATATGTACATGCTGTCATGGCTGGCCCTTTCTGCATTCCCATTTTCTTTCACAATTCCTTCCGAGCTTATGTCGGTGGGTAAGTATAGTGTCAGTACCTTGGCAGCTTTTTGCATCTCCCCCACAACCCGAAACTTCCGTTACGGACCATTACCTTTTTGCCGTTGGGCAGAATTTGTAAATACTCCATGTGCATTCGAAATCGGCCCCCGCACTGCTGTGCTTTGATATCAAAATCGGTATCCAGATTCTCACCATGGTAGGCATCAAACGGACATGTCAATATGGCTGAATACTGAGCCACGTTTCATCAACTCCATCATGGTGTAGTGGCTAACATTATCGCCTCTCATTATCGGATGCGCGATAGCCCAGGGTTCGATTCCCTGTGATGGAATAGTCCATAAGGTAAGTTTTTTTTTTAGCATTGAGCTCTGTAGAACACCTTGTCGATGCAAACTAGTGTAACAAAAAGATAGGAGGAAAGACTTCAAGCTTCAGCTCCTAAAAAAAACATCCTTATTTCGCACTAGCTCGCTCGAGCTATACGGAATCGTCCAAAAACAATCGCCAACTTGTACTCTGGGATACACACTTTCTTTCTTTCTTCTTTCTCTCTCATCTACACCACTGCACACTCAAAAACCCTTCCACATTACACATGCCTTATCTATATTTATACCTTCAAGTTGACTGTATTACTTATACACCTATTCATCATGCACAATTGAACTTTTTGGAGTTGAAGTCCCATCATATGCATGCATAGTGGATTATTGTTATCGTTGATGCATTAGAAGGATATGTATCCGAATTTTTGATTGTGGCTGAATCGGACTCAAAACTCCAGTGGCAGTAATCATTTTAAGTAACTTAACTTCAAAAACCTTTCCAACCCCACTCTGACAGCGCACAATCATGACACGCTGTATGGACTCTAGATCCCAAACTTAATTGACCTTGTGTTTTGGTTTGATATCACCCTCACTAGGCTCTGATATGTCCATATGGCTGAATACTAAGGAAAGAATCACCTCCATCATGGTGTAGTGGCTAACATTATCGCCTCTCAGAATATGATGCGCGATAGCCCAGGGTTCGATTCCCTGTGATGGAATTGCATTGCCAAAAATCGATTTTTTTTTAGCATTGAGCTCTGTAGAATACTTGTCTTGGAAATACCACAAGATGAACAAACGGGCAAACTAGTATAACAAAACGATAGGAGGAAAGACTTTCAAGCTTCAGCTCCTGAAAGGCTATCCTTATTTCGCACTAGCTCATTCGAGCTCTACGGAATCGTCCAAAAACAATCCATATTGTAACTTGTACTTGGGATACACACTTTCTTGCTTCTTTCTCTTTCATCTACACTACTGCACACGCAGAAACGCTTCCACATTACACATGCCTTATCTATATTTATACCCTTCAAGTTGACTCTATTACTTATACACCTATTCATCATGCACGATTCGGATACATATTATCCTTCTAATGCATCAAGAATAACAACACTATGCATACATGCATATAATGAGACTTCTGATGTTCAATTCCAAAAAGTCCCAATTTTTTGATTGTGGCTGAATCGGACCCGTTTACAACTCCAGTGGCAGTAATCATTTTAAGTAAGTACTTACTTCGAAAACCTTTTCCAACCCCCACTCTGACAGCGCACAATCAATGACACGCTGTATGGACTCTAGATCCCAAACAAACTCAATTGACCTTGTGTTTTTGGTTTGATATTAACCCTCACTTGATTAGCGCGTACATAACATCCTCTATTCATCAAAAAAGCACTTAGTACTTACTTGGTATACCACTCGAGATTGACTCCGTGTCTACGAATCTCACTTGTAGGGTGCTTTTTGGAGGACATCATGACGATGATGGCATTATGTATGTAAGTATAGGGTTCAAAAGTATATAGTCTTATACAGTACTTACTTACGTCCGTTCTATCCATGAGGCTTGATTGACTTAATTATTTGGTGTGGGTATGTATGGCTGAAGCTCGGGTTTAATCATCATTAAGTACTCAGCCTGAGTATCTTCACGCGTTAGTCGGAAGAACACACCCATTCCAAGCTATTGTTTATGTGTGGGGGTATGTAAGTACTTAATTCATCCGAGTGGCCACTCATTCTCAGCGTTTAACGTGTACGAGTCATTCCTTCAGTTTTATCAAACCAAACTTATATCTAGAACTCTGAATCGTGGAAAAAGAGAGTGGATGATCTGTGTCGATCTGCTACACTGGGAGCAAATTTGTGTAATTCCAAGGAATTACAGGAACATTACAGTGGAATTATGATAGGAATTACTGTAGAATTCAGAATTACAGTGGAAATACAATAATTTCATTGTAATTCCTATGATAATTCCTCTGTAATTCTTCTGTAATTCCAAGGAATTACACAAAATTGTTCCCAGTGCTATATCCGAGCTAATTACCATTCCAATAAAGAATTATATCGTTAAATTGATGCCTCCCCTGAAATTCTGATCTCCTTCAAAGTAAAGAATCAGCTCATGTAATTATAACTTGCTTTAAATCCCCTTCGCCTGCGACTGTAATAAACCAGAATAAACCCGAGCTTCAGCCATACATACCCACACCAAATGATTAAGTCAAGCCTCATGGATAGAAAGGATGTAAGTATCTTCACGCGTTAGTCGGAAGAATAAGCCATTGTTTATGTATGTAGGTATGTAAGTACTTACTTCAAATTCATCTTCATCTGAGTGGCACTCGTTCTCGACGTTTAAGGTGTACGAGTCATTCGTTCAGTAACTCTGAATCGTGGAAAAAGAGAATGGATGATCTGTGTCGATTTACTATATCCTAACTAAACACCATTATATTGTTCAGGTTGATGTACATCAACCAAATTTATTCTCCTTCAAAGTAAAGAATCAGCTCGTGTAATTATAACTTGCTTTAAATCCCCTTCGTCTGCGATTATAATAAACCCGAGCTTCAGCCATACACCCCCACACCAAATAATCGAGTTAGTCAAGCCTCATGGATAGAAGGACGTAAGTATCTTCACGCGTTACTCGGAAGAACAACCCATTCCAAGCCATTGTTTATGTATATGTAGGTATGTAAGTACTTACTTCAAATTCATCTGAGTGGCACTCATTCTCAGCGTTTGAAGTCATTCATTCGCCAGTTGTATCAAATCAAACTGATATCTAGAACCCTGAATCGCGGAAAGAGAGAATGAATGATCTGTGTCGATCTGCTATATCCTAACTAATTACCATTCCAATAATGAATTATATCGTTTAAATTGATACCTCCCCTGAAATTCTGATCTCCTTCAAAGTAAAGAATCAGCTCATGTAATCATAACTTGCTTCAAACCCCCTTCGCCTGCGACTGTAATAAGCCCGAGCTTCATCCATGCACACCCACACCAAATAATTGTGTTAGTCAAACCTCTTGGATCGAATGGACGTAAGTATCTTCACGCGTTAATCGGCGGAGGAACAACCCATCCCGAGTCGTTATTTATAGTATGTATGTGGGTACTATGTAAGTACTTATTCATCTGAGTGGCACTCATTCTCAACGTCAAAAGAGAGAATGCATGATCTGTGTTGATCTGCTATACCCTAACTAATGCCATTCCACAAAAAATTATATTGTTCAAGTTCATATGTACCTCCCCCGAGATCCTGATCTCCTTCAAAATGTGGCTTACTTTAAATCCCCTTCGCCTGCGGCCTAAGACCATTTTCTGGGGAAGACGGATTGAGTACTTATGTATTGCAATATACTCCATGTCATACTTAGTACCAGTGCCACCGATGACTAGTAAGTAAGGACAAGAATAGGCCAATTTCAAATACTGTACTATGCATGTATGTTATTTTGTAAGTAGGTAGGTAGGTAAGATTACACGGGTAACGCATAAACAACGCGCAAGTAGTGTATGCGATTCATGCGTATGTCTAAAGCTGACCCACTTACTCCTTAAAAATCGAGACTCAAAAAATCTATTATTTGGGTCGCTTCGAATCAGTCGTTCGCAAGAATTCAATCACACCGTCGGCGAAGCCAACAGTTTTGATCGACTGTCACCTATTTTAAATCCTAGAAAGTCCAGTTCCAACCGCATGCGACGTCAATATCGAGAAGACCTCGAAACCGATTCCTTCCTGAAATCGAGCAAGGATCTGTCTATTCGTACTATCTACTGAGTAGTGTCACGGATAGACCCGCCTGCATTTCCTTCAGTTCCTCTAATGCCATAGACTGAAAAGCGGGCTTCAATACTTTGCATATGTTCTTTACGCCGCTGATTAAAGTAGTCTGCGTCGACCACATGGTTTCAAACTTTACAGTTTGCGACTTTTTCTTCAAGTTCGGCCAGTGGCCCGGGGAAGCTCAAAAAAAGAATAAAATACCGTAACTTACCATCGTCGTTCTACACCCGGCCTGTGAATCGATTTGAATGACAACAATCTCCAAGAGTCCATGTTCAACGTTCAGGGCTAATTGACCCAAGGGTCAACTCGGAAATATGTAGTGACTCAACTTCCACCATGATTGTTATTCGAAAAAGTCTTGGGTAAATGGCTTTCGAAGCTTGTATTATATTTCTTTACTTAACCATTTCGTTTCGATATGTAAGAACCAGACAATCTACACTGAGTGAGGTATGGCATAACTGCAATTTCCCGGCAGTCGAAGGAGACAAAAGACCTTGGCGATATGTATGTATACATACGCAGGCGCATACATGCATATAAAAAAAGTTGAGCAAGTTCTAAGGAGATTCGCGGAAAAACTACATACCTGATTAAGAATCAGCATATTTACTACACCCGATAACGTCAGTGGCTTACGAGGTCCAGCACGCATACTCACACAGCGGAGATAGAAAATTCCTGTAAGAGATACACAAGCTGGCAGCAGCTGGAACATCGCCTTTAAGCCTTGAGAAAATTTCCCTTGTATTGTTCAGCTACAGATCTAGAATCCAGAACAGGATACGCATATCAATTGAACGTAGAACGCTTGAACTTGAGTATACTAACGAAGGGCTTAAAAGGATATGCCTGCTATAGTGTGGACGATAGCACCTGATAGCACCCGATGCATGTTGATATGTCTTCCCATCATGATCAAAGTCTGAATCCTAATTTCTCGGGCCCGCATTAGCTCCGGTGTCCGTACACAACCGCACACAGACCCAAATTGGGTCCCTTGGAGCACTTTGGATTTTATTATTTTTTGCTTCTCAAATCGAAAGACCCCCACCCCCACCCCCGCTCCACCCCTCCCCGGCATCAAGAACTGATGTACTGGAAGAACTTCTCCCATGAACGTTTCTGGAGCCAGCGAACGAAAAACCATTTCTCCCCGACGATAGTTGCAGGTAGTACATATTCTCGGAACCTATAGCTGACACTAGAAGCTGCGGATCCTGGAAATACGAAGACAAGGTGGAAAAAAAGGTACTGATAAATCAAGTTTGGTGTCCTCCAGAAAAAGTCAATTTTTGAAAAGGCTTAAACCGACGTCTGTGAAGGTATACAGAACACTCTAAATCGTAGTCCGTAAGGATTCCGAAGTATTTTCTCTTTACACAGGCTATACATAGATAACGGCGAGAGGACGAGGGCTTACTGATCCGAAAGAACTTCGAAGTATTTAGAGTCAATGTATGTACATACTTGACATCCCGCTCACTCACTTGGATATGATGACATTACTTAGGCCCCTATTATGCAGATGAACACGGAGTATCTATGACCCCCATTGTACACTTTTCAATAGCTCAAAGTCTGCAATTCTAAACTTCTACTACTTCAAGGCCCAAAACTATTTCCAAGTGCTCTAAGTGAATTCAAATATGTCTAGGAATGAGGCGTATATACACCCAAACTTTGTCGCTTTCTTCCCTCGTCCCAAAAAAGGCCCCACAAATGAATGAACTGGTGTCACAGTCAGATCGGTGGGACTCACATATGCGGCGTACAGTATGATACCGTATAGAAAAAGCCTGAACTTACTCTAAATTACGTCGATTTCCTGTCCTATAGACCCATAGACCCATAGATTGCTATTACCAGTTTCCGGTAAGTAGCCACTTGTCA